TAAATATACCTTTTCCAAATAATTTATTTAAAAAGATTATAGATGATCTAGCTATTATCAATAGCTATTTGGTTATTTTATAACTAAATTTTGCCCTAAAATTTAAAATTGAAAGCTGATTTTAGAAAATCATTTATTTTAATGAATTAATAAATTAGTTTTATAAAAGGCAGGTCATATATAATTGACAATAACATGGTTAAACTAACTGAAATGCCCAAATTCTTTTCATAAAAATAAACTGGCATGTGTTATTTGTTGTTGATGGTGGTTACAATGTGATATAGATTTCAAGGTTCCTGGATCTTACTCCAGATCCTATGTATAAATTTATTCTTGGGCACCTCTTTTGGGTGCTTTGTTGCTCTGTAATTTTATTTGTCATATTTCAGATTATATTAATATCTACTGATTGTGTGATATTTGTATGATAACAATGATCCCTTGGTTCCTTTTTTTTTTTTTTGTCTGATGAGAATGGAATGATCCTTAATGTTCTTTGTAGCATTAAGTTTCTGACCGATCATAAATTCTAAGTGATTTTCCTTTAATTAAGATCCTTTGAGTTTGTCTCTTCCACCTACAGACATTTCTTTTCAGCTATCAAAAAGCACTCAGAAAATTTTACAACCAATGAGGTTAATTGAATGACTTCCACATCTGTGAAAAGCATCAAAATAAACAGGCTGGACTTCTTTTAAACTCAATTGCCATCTAAGTTTAAAAATATTGTATGGCTTTTTGGCAATCCATATTTTCATAAACATTCTGCAACAGATGAAACACTATGTAGTGCAACCAGGAGATTGATTGATCTATATCATGTCTGTATGTATACCACCTGTATTTATATCTATAAGGCTATTTATTACAGGGACTTGGCCTTACCCGATTTTGAAAGCTGGTTAAATATTCTCTGCAAGGCTATTATCTTTGTCTCTGGGGCAGGGCAGGCGATGGGGAAGAGAGTTTGGCTGTCAAGTGGGAAAGGGCACAAATAAACTAAACCAGAAGACATAAGCATGAACTAATGATCCAGGAGCCTTAAAGCAGGACTGGAAACCACGTCATCTCTTACCTTCCAGCGCGGGGATGTGGCTGTTCTTCAGGAGAGAAGACCCAGACGCGCACCTGCCGCGGTGTCAGAGAAGCTGCAGGAGGACTCAGTGTGTGGTGAGTAGCGGGACTGAAGCCGCGGGATGCTCCAGGAATGTTACCAGCAGCTGAACAAACACCCGAATGAGTCACAGTAGTACTTGGTGTCCCTGTGCCCACCCACCAAGCATAAAAACAGACAGCTTCTGCTTAATAGCCTTCAACTATTGTGCAGAATGTCTCTTGTGGCTACCCTACATGGAAAACTGGAAGATAGCCAATTCTTGAAAATATAGTTCAGCACAACAGGTTGAACCACTACAAAGCCACTTGACAGGCCAACTATGGAATTATAGAAGAGAGGACATGAATCCTCAAATATTAATTAGTTTGTAATACTTTTAATAACTACATATGTATAAAATTCTTTAATGATGCAAGTATTTTTTTCTTATTAAAAATTTTATTATATGACAGTTTCTATGGTTTAATTACTTGGATGGATCTTGAAATCTCAAAAGATTAATTTGATTATGCTAAAATATAGAATCAAAAATCAATCAGAAAAAAATAAAAAATACAGTTCAAACAGTGAAAAATAACTTTTATTTTAAGGCAATATTTTCATCTTCCTCTACCATAACATGAATCATTTGAGATAATTCTTTACTATGATAAAGCTTACTCTGCCATCCAATCTATTTGTTAATAATTCACATTTTGAAAACAAAATGTTCTTCAAAGAAAAGGTCTTTGTGGCATTTCATAATTAACTTGGAGATGCATTATTATAAAAGTTTTGGGTCAATTTAACAGTTCCATCAACATCAATTTTGCTCTTATTTTGTTAAATAATCCACATGTTTTCGTTGGAATGGTTTTCTTTGCTGAGAATAGTTTTGCTATTTTTCTGGGACAGTTTATTATTGCTTGATTATGCTATTTGCCCAACACAACAGCTACCTCTCACTCACAAAGTATTTCCTTTGCTCTAGGTCTGTCCCTGTTGTTTTTCTCATTAACCTTTTGGAAATTGATAAGATATTCCTGTGGATAGCTTATTCTATTCTATTTAATATGAATAGAAAGCAATGTAAACTGTGATCATGCATCTTCTCTTGGAAATATTAACTTGCTGACAGTTCATCTTTCAAATTTGCTAATTTATATTCTTCACAAAGATAAGTGCACTAAGAAAATATTTACACTTTTCCATATTCCCATTTGGAAATTATTTATAATTAAACTGCACACTATTACACTAGATATTTATTTTTTATTCTTTCTCTAATTCTCTTCTTTATTAGAGATTAGTTACCATGATAATTTAACTGTGGAGGGTTGATATATTTTTGGCTGTTCTGAAAATTATAATCTCTCTCCTTGCTCCTAATTATATCCTTCATATTGCTAATAAAGATAATTTTTGAAATAATAAAAAAAACTATTCATGTAGTTTTCTTGGTTAAAATATTCTAATATCTCCCAACTGCCAGTTGACTAAGCACCAAACTCCTGTCATAGCATAAATTATTTTCACAGTATGTACCAATGTTCTCTTTCAGCCTTGGCTTCCATCACAAAAATCTCAGGCAGAATTGCATTCTTATGTGTTTTCCCATGGCTGTAAGCTGCATATTTACTGTACTGTAAATCCCTGTCTAATGTTATCATGAAGACTTGTCAGCTATCTATATTGTTCTCTTACAATTATTTGCAAAAGCTCCTTTCATTATATTTTCTCATCTTTGCCTTCTGTTTAGCTTGAGCAAATATCAAGGTAAAGAGTGGTGATAGATTGAATGCTTTTTCCCCAAGATCAGATCAGATAAAGGCAAGGATGTCTACTCTCAACAATCTTCTTTAGTATTAAATTGAAGTAGTAACCAGTGAAATATGGTAGGAAGCCAAATTTAAAACTTATAGCACAGAAAGGAAAAAAACAAAAGCCTCTATTGCAAATGACACGATTGTCTATGCAGAAAATCTTATAAGATCTAAAAAAAGGGCACTAAAATTGATAACTATATTTCAAAGAATCAAAGTTACATGCTTTCAAAAGTTTTAACTCTATGGTTGTTTAAGTATTTTCACAAATAGCACCTTTCTTTGAACTTTGGGATATCTTAGGAGTCACATAGCTAATGTCCATAAATACTGGTGAACTGAACAGATTATGTCCCAAATGGTCTGTAGTCTATTAGAGACAGGTCATATTTTAACCCTTTTCATTGTAGTTAAGTCTTTTGGGATCATGTTTTAAATATACATGAAACTTATGAATCAAACCCAAAGAAACGAAAACACAAATGTAATAAAAAGTATTTGTTTTTATTTTCTAGTATGCTTCATTAAAAAAATGACAGTTTTATTAGTAGTACATTAATGAACTAAAAGAACAAAGTGACAAGATTTTGTCACAGTTATTAATTTATATTTTACAAACATCCACCAAAACAATTAAAAATGAAATAAATATATTTACATTTTATATTTCTGGTATTTTCATTGCTTTTTAATATGTATAAAATATATAACATTTATAATATTTTATTTTCAAAAACAAATTCAAATGTGCAAATAAGTGACATGATTTTTGAGTATTCAGTAATAAGAATAAATCATAAACAAAACATTTGGAGGTATGAATAAAGCAACCTTAAGGAGAACTCACGAGCACAGCAGTGTTAATGCTAGCACAATTTTTGTTATTAATATCCAACCATCTACACTTACCTTAAAAAGTTAAGCACAAGATTGTCCTTGTGCTTTTAAAGCTTCTCCCCACTGCTGACTTCTAGCAGTAATTCTAAATTATTATTACGATCATTACTTTTCCTCAGTGATAAATCAAGCTTCTCGCAAATCCAGCATTCAATGTACAAGAAGTTTATGAACAAGCTTTGTCATTGTAAATGAGGGAAATGTCGATCTATAAACTAGTGCACCCAAAGGAAAATTCAGCTGCTTGCATGGCTAATATGGACTTGAAATTTACTTTCAAGTAATTGTTTATTTCTTGCTAAATGACAGTTTTACGAATGAAGGTTTTAAAATTGTAAGTTGGTACATGCCTGAAATATGGGCAAGACATGATTACCTGATTACTCTCCTTTAAAAAAAAGTTGGACAGTAAGTGTTGGGGTACAAATTACATTTACATTATCTATTAAAGTATTTTTGAAATGAATTCTTGTTGCAATATAACAAATTAAAAATGCCCCTGCTGTAATATACTTCAGCTTAAATGAATTGTTATTCTTTATCAGGCAAACAACATTATTATAGTAGTTAACAGTTTTCAAATGATTTTGAACTCCATTCTCTGACCTAAATACCTATAATATTCCCCATTAAGCTTGCAATATGTACACTGCAATGAACCCTTTAACGATCACACACACACATACACACACACACACACACACACACACACACACATCCCAAGGCACTGGAAGGGTTAACACATTAATTAAGCATTCTGCTGTTAAAATGTGTTCAATGTACAAACTAGGATTTGATAAATAAATCTCATGCATCTAAACCTAAATTACATGAGAAATAAAAATTTATAAGTACTTTTGTTTTTTTCTAAACTTTCTCATTAAAGTAATCCAAGTTGTGACAAATAACAATGGCTAGTCATCACATTGTAAAGAAAACATTAGAAACTATTAATAATTGCTAAACTGATGAAAATCAGAAGAGTATTTTCCTAATTGATTGCTGTCCCACTAATCACATTAAATAGCAGTGTAGGCTGTTGGTTTTTTATCAATAGTATCAAAAATAATCACATAAGTTTTAATCAAGTTATAATTTATGATTCAATTTAAAGTATATTAAATGTATGTATATGCAACTTATTCTTTTAATATAATTCATAGCATTTTATTATACATATATACACACATATATATGTGTAAATATATATGTGTGTATTTATTCTACAAAGAGATATATATTCATACATATCTCATTGTTCACCTTTTCCTGCATCATACACATGAGCACAGGCTAAATTTTTATGCTATAACAAAATGGATATTTAAGTAAATTGGATTTTTAAATTTTAAGACAGAATTTTTACATTGGATATTAGTTTTTTAAATGATTCAATTACAGGTATGCAAATTTTAAAAACTTTTTTTTGTTTGTTTTGCTTTGTTTTTTCTGTTGAATAACTAGCCCATGTCACACTGCCTTCAAATTGGATTATCAACTTGGAGACACACTGATGTCACCCCAATATGGGGTGAGACTTAATTATAACTAGCAGCAGAGGTTCTGCAATGAACTGCCTACCACTGCTTCCAGTACTAAGGGGGACACATCCCACTCCTTTTCCTGGTCTTTCTCTGTAAGTTCACAAGTGCACCATGAAACCTGCTTTGATGGGCTTCAGATTTTACAAGACTGTTGTGTTTGATCAATACACTGAGCAATAATTCCAATGTGCTATCCAAACTGCAGATGCATATTTAATTTTCTGGTCAAAATAAATTATGTTGAAACTGTTTACTGTCCGATTAACCTTTTGAGAAGGTATCTCATATTCAACTTAATACTTTCCCATGTACAACTATAAACCTTCACCTTTTCTTTTCAATTTGATGTATTTGAGGATTAATCTGATGCAAAATGAATTAGTAATTGTAATAATTATGAAAAAAGTTTGATATTAATATTTAAAAATTTAATGGATATGTTCTTTATACAAATAATTGTTTCCCTCTTGAGTCACTGTTTTCTCTTATTTGAAAAAAGAGAATTGTATCACTTTAATAAATACTTGGTTATCTTTACAAGGAAATCTCTAATGTTTTGGTTTAGTTGGGAGCATGTGTGTCAATAAAAAAGTAAGGGTTTTTTTCTTTATTTTTCTAAAAGGCAGATGGCTGTTTAAAAGCAGATCTCAATAAAGCTGTAGTGAAAGACAGAGAAGGTTTTCCATGCTCTACAAATAGTTACATAATACCTACAATCTGAGTCATGTGCCCACCACCAATGCTGTCCAATATCCAGCTTTGGAACATTCCCAAGATATGATATCTAAAATAACCTGCATAGCTTGGCATCATTTAGTCACTTTCCATAATAAGGTAAGATAGAGATTTTAACCTTTATTTTCAAATATCACCTTAATTCCTCATAAAATATTACTAAAATGAAAAGATGTCCATTCACTAACATAAATAATAACTTTGAGACTGCTTTCTAGGAACATTTCAGTTCACAATTAACTGGCAGAATTAGAATTACAAAGAATTTTTTTCTCACAACATATTTGTTGCTATTATTTTCTCTACAAAATTTTTGGGATCACTGAACATTTATGAAACTTTAAGCTGATAATAAATCTCCTTAGGTAAAATATAAATCTTTTTTAAATGAAGGAAGCAATAAGAGGTTCAGGAATGGTTCCATCACTCATAATTAAATGAATACATTTTTGGCATATTTGGTTGACATTGGCAGCTAATAAAACATTTTAGTAACTGTGATTCCAGGGAGAATAGTCCATTTCACAGTGTCTCTATCATAGCTCAACATAATTATCCTTTGAAGCCTTTCAGGATATCTTACAATGAAATAAACAAAATTGGAGCGCCAGTGTCAAGTCATGGGGTGAGAAGACAAGGAGGCGTTCGCAGCAGCAAATGAAAGTGCATCCTCCGTCCACGAGCGACTGCGTGCGCCTTGCCGCGCGGTGGCCTTCTCGCCTCCTCTCTGTCCCTCGGGACACAATGATGGGCCACGGCCCGACCCGCCCGACACGGCTCTGTCGTACAAAGTAATCTAAAATACAGAATTAACCATTTAATAGGCGTGTTTATTTATAGGCAGCTTACAATTTCTATGCTATGTACACCCTTCCCGTCTCCCCTCCCGGCCCCGTGGGGCAGGCGGCCGGCGGGAGCGCGCGGCGGGAGCGCGCGGCGGCAGCTTCTGCGCGGCCGGAGCCTCGCAGAGGGCAGCGTCTCCAGCCGCCGCGCGCCCTCCCCTTCCGGCTGAAACTTTGATCCACTCCGCCGTCGACCCGGTAACGTCACGTCCCCGGCGTCTGCGGTGGGCAACACCCTGCTCCACGGGGCGCCGCGTGTCAAGCCGCGTGCTTCGCTTTGCTCGTCGCGGCAGAGCCCGTGGCTGCAGAAGCTGTAGCCTGATTGCCCAAAAACAGAGGGTCCAAACAAGCCACTTTGGCAGCAAAGAATGAATGAATGCAGTGAAGAACAGCAAATAAATTTGAAAATTCCAATTCCTGAAAGGGAAAGAGAAAGAAGTCAGATAAAATATAAATGCAGTTCTTAAAGATATGATAATAACTGGACACTTTTTTCAAGTGCAATAAATTTATCTAGAATTAATGATATCTAATGTATGGAAACTAATGTCTAACGCAGACATTTTTGGTCAGTGTGTACGAGTCATAGATATGGCAGATTCACTTCAAAACATGGTGGACAAGAGGGAGGACTGGTCGTTCTTACCACCTGTGCACGTCGCTTCAGCATGGATAAATAAATTTTGCCAAATTGAACTTTCACTCTTAAGAATGCATCAATAAAGAGAAACTTCAGAGTACCTTAAAAAGCACTTTTATGTCTTTATACACACATCAGATAATAAAAGTGAATTAGAATAATTAAGGCATAGTCTTTAGAATGAGCTGCTATTTATTTGCCATGGGAGCCTGAAGGCAAAGTGCTAAAGGCAAGGGGCTGTGAATGTTTATGACGCATGGAGCCAAGTGGTTCACATCCAAAAAATAATTCATGCCTTAGTTTTAATTGCTGTGGATGCTTATTTAATGGTGTGTACAGCATATTTACTAAAAGAAAATAAAAATCAATAGGAGCCCACTAATTCATTTTGGATTTTTAAGTAAGTAGCCCACTTATCAGTGCCAACCCAATGATATACATTGCAATGAAACAGAGAAAAGTTTTTCACAAGTGATGTCAGACTAGCTATAAAGTCATGAGGCAATGATCAGGACAGATTTTGAAAGATGATGTTGTGAATATTTTTTTTAATAAAAGACCATCATCAGGCGCCAAATCACATTTTAACTCCAAGAGGACTGAGAGAAGACTAATGCATTTATGTACTTAATGAAGTAAATATGATGAACTTATCATAAAGAGGAAAACTCAAGGGTGATAGATCATAGGAAATTGCTGAGAAACCAGTTGTTATTTTATTACATATTTGTTAGAAATGATGAGTAGGATGACATGCACACTCCTGATAGCATTTGTAATTTATAGCATGTGGCTGTAGAAAATAGTAGAAGATATTCACTCAGTTAGAGCACATTACAATATCTGTCATGTGCCAGGGTAGTATTTAAGTGAAACAATTCATCCTAGGAGTATTTTCCTAGGTCATGAAATCGGAGCACAATAGAACAAAACATATTCATGGTTCTGTACAATATCTAACAAATAGCTATGTTGTCTCAGTAGTTCCCTTCGAACCTTCAGCATTTCATAGTTAGCTTTCTATGGCAAACATTTTCTCCAGAAACTAGCAAAAGCTATTCATTGAACCATTCTAATTCCCTGAAATGATTCCACCAAAAATATTTTAGTAACTCCATCATAATTACCTTAGGAGCTTTATTTTTAATAATGCACTTCCACAGCACTGGTGATATGTTATTTGTAAAGTAGCAGGTGTTCCTTGCCTTAACTCACCCAGAAAATCCTCGTTCACCCTGTCATTCTTTGTGAAGCCAGCTTATTTTCCATGAGGATTTTAAATATTTTCCATATCAACCCATGTTAAATCTACCCAATATGAAAATCATTGGAAAGTTTGGGGGAAATATGAGATTTTTTTCTGTGTATTATTAAAAACCAACTATAGCATAGAAACATGCAATTCACTCTTGGTGAGGAGAAGAATATAGTTGAATGTTACAACTAGACAAAAGTATTATACCAAATAACTTTTTCTCAAAAATAATTCTAACAAATCTTTATTAAATTGGAGATTACATTTTGGTTAATAAGAAAAAAAAATCAAATAGAGAAATATCTAAGCAGTTTTAGAAATATTAAGGTTTTCAATCATTTCTACCTTGTCAATTACTTGGAAATAATTTGATATAGATTGATGCTTTAAAATATTTACACCTTTTTTTGTGGGAGCAGGCAGATAATAGTAATAACTAATTAGGAAAGAAAGCAGAAGACAGAGATGGATTTGAGTTTGGCTCTTGATTCCATTGTCATCTCATCTTTCCTCTGCCTCGGTGGCCAGCTCTTCAATCTTACCCACTCCTGGGGCTTCGAAGATCTCTTCTCCTCTTCTATGTCAACTGTACAGCCCTTTCACTCATTTCCCAGGTGAGCCCTAGACCTAAGTTCTCAGACACCTGTCAAACATCTACAGACAACATCTGCCAAGTTAGTGATTATCACCTGTAGCAAAGCTCTTCTGACCTTCATTAGTCCCATGAATCTCACTAAATACAAGCTATTTTCAAGATAAATACTGAGTGTTTCCTGCACATTTATTCCTTTGTGTTTTTTTTTGGGGGGGTGGGCAGTAAAAAGACATAGCAATGAACAAAACAGATTAAATAAAAAGTTCTGATGGAACTCACATTCCAACGACAGGAGACAACATATAAAGGCACAAATAAATTAAATATGCCAGGATGTGAAAAGTACAGTGAAGAAAATAAACTGGAGAAGAAAGCAGAGTATGGGAGGGGCTGTGAGATAGACAAATTCACATTGCCATGAGGGCAGAGGTTGAAGGGGACAAAGGAGCGAATCGTTGCCACTTTCGTGGGAAAATATTCCAGACAGGAGAAGGGCAATGTCAGAGGCCCTGAGGTAGTGACAGTCTAAGGGAGTGTGAAGAAAATCAAAGGCCTTTGTCTCTGGAATGGAGTGAATTATGGGGTGATTAGTAGAAAATGGGGTCAAAGAAATAAACACAGACTAGTACCTGCTTTTCCATATGGTCGCATTATGAGTTTACTTGGAGTGACTTGGGAAACCATTGGAGGTTTTGATCAGAGGAGTGGCAAGAATTGACATATGTCTGAAATTGGCCATTTTTGCTAGAGCTCCAAGGGAAGGACATTTCAAGAAAGGAGTGACATTATAATGTTTTTCCTTAAGAAAAGGGGTCAGATTTAAAAGTTACATTGAACAGCTATAAGGACAGAGTTGCCATGTTCAGAAAAGAAGGAATTGTGGGAAGAGCAGGTTTGACATTAAAGATCAATATTTTGGTTTTGGGTATGTTACAATGAGAGCCTATTAGATATGCTCATCAAGGGGTAAGTAGAGAGTTGTATATCAGTGTAATTTAAGGGAAAAACCAGAGTTGAAAGTAAAAGTTATGCTCTGTGAGCATCCAGATGCCCTGGGTTGGAAGGTGTGCAGGTGGAGAAAAGGCTGGGCTGGCGTCCCTGGGAGCAGCGGCATAGCAAGGTCAGAGCAAGAAGCAGCAGCACACAAGAAAGAGCACAGTGCCACAGAAGGGAGAGAGAAAGCCAGAGAGTCTTGCAAAATGACAGCTGAAAATTGGCTATTGGGTGCACAGAGACGTTATTTTTATCCTTACAAGAGACTTTTGTGAAGAGAGGGCAAAAGATTCTTAGAAATGGGTTCACAAGAGATTGGGTGGAAAGGAATTAGCCTTACTGTAGACAACTTCTCTTTGGAGAAGTCCTTCCCCCCCCTTAAATGGAGCAGAGAAATGGATAAGTAGACAAAACCGGTAATGTTTTTCTAAGGTTTAAGCAATTAGTATATATTTGTAGAATTGCTGTATGAGACAGTAGAGGACTCACATCTGAGGATAGTTGTAGAAACTTCTTGAGCAGAAGGGAAGGATGGGAGTTAGAGCAGATGTGGCGAGGCTGGGCTCAGATAGAAACCTGCACAATGGTCCGGAGTGGCGGGAGGAGGGCAGGGTGCACTGGCACAGTGCCAGCATGGTGGATAGATTTGGTGGTGTGCAGCTTTGCTTAATTCTGCTTTTTAGATGAAATAAGAAGGAAGGTCGTTGACTGACAGGAAGGATAAAGCAGGAAATGTTGAAAATTTGAACAAAGTACTAAATAATTTCTGAGTACTATTTTAGGCATATTATCTGGAATTTATCTTCCTCACTCTGCTTAGTCCTTAGAAACTTGTAATGACTCTCTAAGTCTACAGAACACATAATGGAGAGTATCGTTCAGTGGGCCTCGTAAAGTCATCTACATTTCATAGCTGTTTTCCCACAGCAACATGGTCATGCAACACTCAATAGATCCTTACAAGAGCGGTAAGTCTTCTAGAATGTGGAAAACAAAAGAATTATTGAAAATATTAGGAAAAATTACATTTTTATAAGTTCTTTGGCTAATAGCACTATTGTGTTTCCATTCTTGCTCTTGATTTCAGGATCTTCCCTTCCCTATGATGGGCTTCTCTTTCGTTTCCACTGTAACTCTCATCCCTTCTCCAAGGCTAAAGTTAACTCCAATATTCTTCATGACCTTGCAGTCAACAGGTAAAAACACACCCCTCTGCCATTATTAACATAAGGCTTCTTTCTTCCAAATGCCATCAGTCACAGTCAGATTTACTCATGCCATTAATGTATAAGTGAGCATGTTCCCTAGCTTGACAACGCCTTTATGTGTCATTCACCTTTTCCCACAGCAGCCTTACAGAGATACAATTCACCTGTTTAAAGCATACAATTCAGTGTACGTCAGTATATTCACAGATGGTGTGTAACCACCACCATTATCAAATTTTAGAATATTTGTTATTATTCCAAAAATATATCCTATGCCCAGTATAAGTCACTCCCATTTCCCCCTCCCCAGCCCCTGCTAAGCATTAGTGTCTTTCTCTTTGTATACCTCTGCTCACTCTGGACATTCCAATATAAATCATATCATGCATTTGACAACTTTTGTGATTGCTTGCATTTGCTTAATGTTTTCAAGGGTCATCCATGCTGTGGCATGAATAGTACTTCTTTTTCCTTTATTGCTGAAAAATATTTTCTTTTATGAACATAACTCATTTTCCTCTTCCATTCTTGTTGAACATTTGGGTTGTTTATACTTTTGGTTATTAAGAGTAATGCTGCCATAAACATCTGTGTACAAGTTAATGAGACTGTGTGTGGACATATTTTCATTCCTTTTGTGTATACACCTAGGAGTGAATTTGCTTGGTCAAATGAGAACTTCATGTTGCGTTTACCGAGGAGGTGTTGAGCAGTTTTCTAAATGAA